GGGTGCTTGGAGTGGGACTTCCACCAAAGCATTCTAGACTCTTAGGGTATATGGATGCCAGGGTCTGGGGAGAAGCTTCCATAGAACATCCCAGACTTTTTAGGTATATGGATGTCAGCTCATATCTGACTGCTTTCTTCAGACTTGAGGCAATGTGGGGGAGAGGGGAGTTGGAAGTTGGTGGGCTCATGCTCACTGGGAGGTGTAGGTGGAGAAGCATCTAGTTAACTGCCATCCTGGAGAATTCCGGCATTTGTTTCTTGAGGAAGCAGAAAAGGCAAGTTGCTAGAAAAAAATAGATTATTAATACCTATCCTAGTTGTACCAACAGAGATGAGTCTGTCAAGAAGAACACATGGGTCTTTCCTTAGGACATCTTGGAAAACCTGAGGGTGGAGAGTCCCAGCTGTTGGAGAGACCATGTATAGGTGCCCACTTAAGCCTGGAGAGGGGGTACCAGCATGAATGTCCCAATAAGTTGGCAGTCAAATTGGTGGTGAGGATCATGGTGTGAGGTCCTGTTCTTTGGGGCTCAAAAGACCCAAGAACTAGCCTCTTGAGGAGTATTCTGTCCCCCAGGGAGAGCAGAGAGGGCAGGTACGATAAAGAAAGAGTGTGAGAAGGATTGCGCTGCAAGAATGCAGGTAGAAAAGGGATCCTGCATGACAGAAATTGGTGAGTGTATTGTAGAACCCAAGTGTAATGTTAAAACAGAATAAATGGCTCCAGTAGAAAGTCAATAGACGAACTCGCTGCCTGAAGCATCTCTCTAGGCTCAGAGAGGGCAATGAGAGTCACCAAGTCTGGGCTACATCAGTCTTCCACCAGACTGAGTAGTTCAAAGGCTGGAATGATCTAGGATGCCAATGCTGGTTAATATTGGACCTCTGTGATATAGCATAGAGGATGAGCCCACACAGGGGCATTCCGAATTCCAGTGTCCAGGCTGTCAGCAGAGGGGGCATGACTGCGCTGGGTCGGGGTAATACTGTGACCAGTGGCCACAGGCTGCATTTGAAACAGGTTCCTGGTAGAGTTGACTTGGGCTGAGTTCCACAGGGATGGAGATTTGTGGTTGACTTCCCTTGTCCCCTTGTAGGGGAACCAATGGTCTCAGAGCAGCTGCTAAGGCTTGGTTTGGAGCATAGCCTTCTGTTGCAGCCTTGTCTGTTGGGGGGACTCGATTGTCTCTTCTTGAGCATTGGAAACTTTAAACGCCATTTTCACCACCTGCTATATGGAAGTTTGGGGACCTTCCTCAGCTTTTTAAATTTCTTTCTAATATCTGGGACTGACTAAAAAATGAAATGGTGATTAGGATCAAGACTCCAGCTAGGGAGGCTGGGTCAAGTCGCATATACTGAACCATAGTCTGATCTGCAAATGGTCTTGCTGCTGCCTGAACTCGGTTTTTCTCCTCGGGCGTGAGAGTGTTGCCCTGGTTGACATAGAGGTCATGTCAGGTCAAAGGGAAGGACTGGGACAGATAATGAAACTCTTGATAAAAAGAGAAGGATTAGCAGAGAAAGAACCTAACCGCTTCTCTATTTGGAAAGGTCCTGAAGGGAGAAGGGAGCATGGACTCAAACTATTCCATCTCCATTGGCTCCAACTACCTCTCAGAGAGGGCAGACGAGGGCATGGGTTTGGCAAGACTGGGTATGAGAAGAGATGGAGAGGATTCTGGGGAATTAGGCCAAGGTGTAGAAGGAGGACCAGAAAGTGGATTGTGGCATGGAAGGGTAGGGAGGGATGGTAGAAGTAAGGGGAGGAGAAGAAGGTGGGTAAGAAGGAGGAAGTTGCTCCTTGATCTTTGTCCTGTAAAGTGGGGGCAGGGATGAAAGGAATATGAGGAATGTTGGCCACCGAATGGAGAATATGGTCCAGTAGGAGGGGAATGGGTCGGCAGGGTTGTGGGGAGCAGTGGGAGAAGACCAGTGTCTCCAGCAGCATGGTCTGGGACAACTTTTCAGGGCCCCAGTTCCAAAGCAGGCAGGAATCTGGAGATGCCATGACCCTAGCAAATAAGGCCAGTGCTGGCTACTGAGGAAAGGGTGGGAGAGCCAATACCTAGAAACCGTGGGCATATTGGCATTCTGTCCACTTGTCCCGTGGGCAAAAATTTTCAAGGTCACAGAGGCTGGGAAATTTAAGCGCTCCCCTCCCTTCAGTGGTCATTGTTTTCAATTGTCCAGGGCATACTGAGTTCAGGCATTGGTGCACAGAGAAGAGGAATCAGGCATTCTGGACGTGTGGTGTCAGATAGTTCCAATTTAAAAAGATTTTGTAAAAGGCAGCCCCGGCTTCAAATTGCAGGTGTCCATTTCATAAGGCTATTCCCAGGCTGGGAGCAGGTACAATGCATCCACAGTGGCAGGCTTTGGGTCTAAAAAAAAGAGGGGAGGTGGGATATTCCCTTGAACGGAGCGTCTTCTGAAGAAGAGTTCCCATGGGACAAGGCAGGTCCTTATTGTAAATCTCGGTCTCTGGCCTCCATCTTTGGAGGCCCTGCCCTTGTGCTCGTGCACCTTGACCCCTCCCCGAGGATGGTCAAGGTAGCCCACCAAACCTTGACCCCTCCCCAGAAAAGGTCAAGACCACTCCCCCAGACTATTTAAACTGCTCCCCTGCCCAAAAGTAAACAAGTGGTTTTCCCTCTTTCCTCCCAGTGGTGGTCCTGTTGTGGCTTTTCAGTTCCCCTTGGGGCCACCGGAGAGGGCAGGAGTCCAGTTAAACCTGGATATCTTTTAAGTTGGTATGTTTTGATTTGGCTTGATTGGGATTCTTGCATTGGCAGAGAGCTTGTGTTAGAAAATAATACTAACACTTATCAGGGGCCCTGCCAAAGACAAGGCTTTGGCAGGACATCCCAAAAAGCACAGGAGGCCCTGGGTCTCTAAGGCAATAACTTGGAAAGGACAACTTATCCAGCCAAAAGCCAATCTCAGCCTGACAGAGAGTAGGTATGGTTGGGGGAGGGTGTTTCCTGCCATGCGACTTTGGGATGGTGGGGGAAAAACAGCCCCTTGTTGGGATCTCCAGAAGATGAGTTTCCGCACTCAGATAAGCCTGCTGGATCCAGCAGTCCAAATCAGACCAAAGCAAACCCAATTAGAAAAAGCCCAGGTTTAATGGATAAAATGCTCCTGATTTTCCAGCCTCCAAGAAAGAAGACAGGACAGGAAGGTCAGAAACCCACACATCTGTTTTCTGGGGGGCAGTTTAAATACCCTGTGGGGGTGGTCCTGAGCATCTCTGGGGGAGGGGGTTATCATTTGACTGGCTTTCCAAGATGTGGCAGGGTGCTTGGACTAGAACTTACACCGGAACATTCCAGACTCTCTGGGTATATGGATGCCAGATGCTGGGGTGAAGCTTCCAGCAGAATACCCACCACTCATCTCTTCATAGTCTCTTAAAAGAAAACTCTTTCCATATCTGTTCTGATGGTTTCCATAGAATAAATGTTTCCATTTGTTTAATAGTGAATAGTCTAACCTGCACCTGGTAGTCATAATGAGCACTTTTCCTATTCATACTGAGGAGCAAGGGTGAAATCAGGTGGAATGTGGGGTTCAGACTTTGAGCGGGTACTGCTATTGCATATTTCTATAAATAAAAAGAAAGTTAACAATACCAGCTATTGAAGACTAGCTTGTGTGTCCACTCTACCGTTATTATCACTCTTTACTCCACAGAGAAGAAACCACAAGATACAGTCTAACTTGAAATACATCACGAAAATAGTATTGTAGGTGGCACCAAATCAGGTTAAGCTGTTCATGGCATACACTATTAAAAGATTAAGTGAAAAGGGAAAGAAACTAAAGGTTAAGAAGAGAGACGGGGAGGGAGGATGGAGCCTTTTAACTCTTAAAGATCAGTCCTTTTGTCACTGCAAAATAATTCCCATAAATATGGGTCACACCTTTCTGTATGCCTTATATATCAGTTTTTCTTATGTTTTAAAAGTGGTATATAAATCTCACGTAAAGTTTGTAGTCAAAATGAGATAAAATGTCAAAATTCCAATCCAAAGTCAAAAGACCAAGTATGAATCTCTGCAGTTACCTTACAAATAAGTGCACCGTCCCTTTGTACATTCATTTTCGGTATTCAGAAACTCAGCCTGTGTCTAGAGGAACCCCGGTACGTCAGGAGGAGTGCATGTGAAGGACTGAGAGGTGAAGACATGGGTGTCCTGCCCTTGTACTCCTTAGGGGGACTTCATACCCACACCGAAAGCAAGAAGTGGAATATTGGAGCAGCAAAGAGAGAGGCAACAATAAAATGGAAAATGGGGTATTAAGGAGGAATTTCTACCATTCAGAGCTTTCTGGAACCACTGCCAGATCTAGAGCCATAGCTACTGTAGTCATGGCGATGTGATCTTCTGAGACTCAGTATTAGACATAGGATACTGACATTTCTAAGACTACTAGACACTTCTAGAAGTTTCAGTTAATTGAAAGTTAAAGGGTGATTCTGTGATTTTATGTATTTTGGAAACTTTTGGGTAATGATTGAATACATACTAACTGACTTCAGTATATGTTTAACATGTTACTATATACTGAATGAAAAGAGTGATAGTATGTGTCTTAGTTAGGGTTTCTATTGTTGCAACGAAATACCATGACCAAAAAGCAAACGGAAGAGGTAAGCGTTTATTTGACTCATACTTTCATATCACTGTTCAGCATCAGTGGACGTCATGACAGGAACTCAAACAGGGCAGGAACCTGAAGACTGGAGCAGATGCAGAGGTCACGAAAGGGTGCTGCACACTGCTTTGCTTCCTATTTCTTGTTCAGCCTGCTTTCTTATACAATTCATTAGCTCAGGGATGACAACACACACAGTGGATTGGGCCCTCCGCCATCAATCAGTAATTAAGAAAATGCCTTATAGCTGTAGCTTATGGAGGTATTTTCTCAACTGAAGTTCCTCCTTTCAGATGGCTTTAGCCTCTATCACATTAAGACTAACCAGCAGATTTGGGCTTTTTGTCCTTGGGGCTGTGGTGATCACATTCCTCCTCAGTGAGGGTAGCAGGCCAAGATCGGTCTCTTCATCAGGACTGCGTGAGCAGGCAGCCTTGTTTTCTGGCCTCAGACAATAAAAAAAAAAAAGAACTAGCCAGAAGAGCATACATGTTGTCCCCAACCTATTTGTTCTGAGAACTATCTGCGAATGAATTCTCTCTACATAGCAGACTACAATTTAATCCTTAGGATAAATGAAACCAAACAGAAATAATTTTTCTATTATTTCATTTACTTTGATTTTTTTGTATAGATTCTCTTAACATATCCCCTATTAGTCTCAAAACTATGATCCTCCTGCCTCCGACTGCAGGATTTTAGATCTATAGTTTTGAGTTGCCACACCAAGCTTATACTTTTCTCTTTATATTGTGCTGTCTCTATCCAAATTTGTACTGAGACTATTATTTCTTCTTGGACTTGTCAAATATCAAATGCTATTAGTATTGGCAAGAGTTTTATCTCAATGTCTGAACAGTTCGTCCCCTGGAGCAATACAGTGTTCACACTGCAGATTCTCAGAGATGTGCTACTTAGTCACACACCATGCCATGTAAATCCTGCAAGCATTTTAAACTCTATGAATGCTTCCTGTCCCAACAATCACGTGAGAGCCAGGAAGCTGTCTTTAATTGTGAAATTGGTTTGCATATCAAGCAGTTCAAGACATCTGCTAAACCCATATCTCAGAATAAGGGTTTCAAAAAGGACTGACCGGTGTCTCTCTAAAAGAACTCTTTAACGAAGAGCTGTTTCCTTTAGATACTGAAATCCAACAAAGTCACTTATAGCCATGGAGGAAACAGGCAGGCTGTTGTTTTCAAAGAACAAGAAGACCTTACTTGGGGTCCTCAAGATAGAAATTTTATGAGTTCCAAGAGATAGGAACAACTCCAGATGTCAGAAACGTAGATTAAACCCTTTCTGAAGACTTGGACATGTTGTTACACATTGCCCACTGCTTATATTTCTGGTGGGTTTTACACTGTGTCATTCAACTGTGAGACAATGGATTGAGAAACAATAAAAGAAAGCCTTCCAGTTCTGTATTGTGTGAGTCATCTTTACCACTGTAATTTCCAGACATGGTCTTAGAAGAAGAGACACTCTGGACATATTTTTGGTACGGTATGGGAAGTAGCCTTGCCAAATAAAATAATCAGGGAAGGATGACAAGGGGTCTGTTGACCTTCCTTTTGTGGTTTAATTGCACTTGTATGTTTTTGAGTCACTGTGAATGATCCTGAAATGGCCTATTGATTTGTAAGAACTATCAATATTATTCCCTAAAAGTGACAGGTATGATAGAATTACTGAAGCCTTTCAACCATTAAGGAATCCAATTGAAAATATTAATGTTAGTTTATATTTGTAGTTTTAATGGCTTGCTATGTATTTCCTTGTTTAATTTAAATGACAGCCAAATGCAATGAGTGTAGTCCAAAAATGTCTGTAAGCCTCCACTGTTTTCTTACTTTCCTTTACTTATATCTTTTTCTATGGAACTCCTAAATATTCTTACCTCCTGAATATGAACTTCATGGTTTTGATTGAAGTTGCTTCTTAATTATGGGTAGCCTCAGCCCAAAATGACTTTCCTTACCGCCTTGATGTGTGCTGTCCTTCAGTTATCTTGCCTAGGCTTGTTACATGGCTTTTAGTCAGGGTCTAAGTGAAGGGATAGAAATGCAAAGTCACCTGAATAACTATATCCTTAGTGGCAAATCAATGCATGTGCATACCATATAATAAGGGGCCACAAAGGATAGCTTATATTTAACGACTGGATAGAGTCTCTGCCTATTGAAGTGAGGACCAACAAAGGACTCTTATATGGCCATGTGTACCAAAACATCCATTTTTTATTCATAGGTCTGAAAGGGGCATGTGGATCCATGTCTCCCCAATCTGTAAAAGTAATATGTGAGTTAATGAGCAGTAAATTCACGTATCAGATTTTTTCACTTAGATGTGAAAGGTATGCAAAACTTTTCATGCTCCAAAACTCCTGGTGTCTCCTCACATCAATCACCCGAAAGTTGATCGTTATCATTACCTTTATACATGCAGTTATTTCATCTTTTCCCATTTTAGATTCACGGAAAGGAAGATGAAGACAAAAGTTTGTATTTCCAACCCCCTCTTTTGTGATTCTAACACACATTTCATCACCTCCTCTCCCAAATCTACCATTATGATCCTGTTAGGTCATTGAAATAACTTTATAAAGCAAAATATTTTTAGCTTTCAAATTAGAATTTTGTAGTTTTTGAAAAACCTTTCTGCTATATTACAGCTGTGAAAACTCAAGACTGGCCCTTGACCTTGGTGACCTGGTTCCTTATTTGCAAAGGGACCAAAATAGCTGCTTATCTCTGTGGTTCGAGTGAGTCAAACTGGGTAAAAAGGATGCTTTGCCAACTCGAAGCAAAGTGGGATGAAGAGTCACCATTAACAATTTCCTTCAGGGCCACAAAGGCTGTGAGAGTTTATCAGACGATTCTGCAGAGATCCATCCAAAAGTGAATCCTACTGTTTCCTGACCTACTGCAGTCATTTGGTTTTTCCTATGATCTTTCTATGGGATTTTCCAAAGCTCAGTTATTCCTGTCTTTGACATTCAGCCATATAAAATTGGAGTCATGTTGGAGACTTGGAATTAAGTTCAAGACTGAAGTTAAGGGGCCATTTTTGCTGTTGCCATGCCACTAGGAACACATTATTTATGACAAGAAATTGACTGCTTAAGCCTTGGAATCCTACAGATGACTAATTATTACCTACAGTATCTTTTCATAGGCACATTTGAAAACTAAGTTTTAAGGGAAGGAATGCTGATCACACATAAGTGTACTGTGGTGAAAGCTGTAGAACTAGAAATGCTTTGGAATGGTGTATGCTCTTCGAGGACTGGAATTAGGTGGGCAAGTTGAAAATAAAATAAAATAAAATAAAAGTTCTCAGATATTTGACTTGACACACACACATAACTGGGAGTCAATGTACATAGAGTTGGCTTTCTAGGTCCATGTATTATGTAGCTTTGGACTTAAACAATGTATGATAGAAGAATATATATATATGTTTACACACACACACACACATATATGACATATGCCAGTAATCACACAGTGGTGGTTCACATTTATCTGTAACCCCAGTTGTAGGGCAATCTATGCCATCTTCTGGCCTTCTTGGGTAATAGGTATTATCATGGTAAACATACTTATATACATACAAAACAAAAATATAAATAATATAAAGTGACTAAGTCTAAAATTTTTAAGCATTGTCTATATCAAATACATTCAGAATTTTTCTTGTTATTACTTTCCAAACAATGCAGTATAGAGCTATTTGCACAAAATACTATATATTATAAGTAATCTAGAGGTTATTTAGAGTATATGAAAGTATGTGCATTGGTTCTAGACAAACACTACACTTTTTAATAAAAGGAATGTTCATGTACAGAGTTTGGTATCTATGGATGGCCCTGGAAGCAAAGTTTTATGGATACTGAGGTATTGCTATTCATATGAAAGGCAAGATATGGGACACCATATACCATAGAGGATATCATGGAGGAGGGAAAAGTTTTTTGCTCAGGAGTTGGAAAGATCTGGACAACGAGAACACAATTTCAAGGGAGGCATTCATACCACAGACCACATAATATCCTTAGTTAAAAGAGATACTCATGCATGCATCATTTGTGTAAAAAAAATAGAAAACCTCTCTGATTTAAATTAGCACTTCCACTAAAGTTCTTGAGTGACAAAGGGTTTGATTTAAATCATCACCCATCTTCTTCATGGCAAAGATTGAGCAAAGAAACTCAGAAAGAATAATCTTGCCTGATAATTCATTGAAATCACACACACACACACACACACACACACACACACACACACACACACCACACGAATATATACATATATACCAGATTTGAGGGATTTTTATTTTTTAACCACCACAATGCACCACCACTAAGTTATTCTCCAAGGAGTAGACTGTATTTGTGCCTTAGAATGCTGATGGCTCTTTTACTCCTATTCTCATGGATTTTCAACAATGCTGGGAGGGAGCATCTTCCTAGAATCCATACGCATGCTCAACCTAAGAGAAAAAGGCCTGCATATACTAATATAGTTAAAAATGTCTGTATGAATACAGTGAGGTCTGTTCTTTTCTTATTCCTTCCATTTCCTCTGCCTTGTTTCATTTTATGATCCCTGGCAAACTGATACTGGGACAGCAGGTTGAAATGCCTTTCAAGTACTTTTGATGACCACCATGAAAGCAAACTGCTTTTGGGCCTTATGTAGACACAGCGTCTGAGAATTGTTATAGTCAGCTCTTACCCATGGCTCCCGAAGCTCCCTAACATTGCATCAAGCACCCCAATTCACAGCTTTACATACCCACAAGATTCCTTAGAGTATCTTTAAGATCTGAGATCATATAAAACAGCTCCCACTCATAAAAGCACACACAAACTTACCATTGTTGAGTGTTTTTTAAATAGAATCAGGAATGAATCTGTGACCTTGTGGCCCTAAGGTGGGAACACTATCTATAAACTTGCCCAGACACTCTGCCTGTCAGTAGGACATTTTCATTGAACAAAGGTATAAAAAAAGAAAGAGCCAGGATAAGCCAAAATTTCTTACGTGCCACAGCTCACTTTATTCATTTTAAACCTTGTTAACATTTGCTAACAAGAAAGTTAAGAACTTTAAGCTATAAAAATAGGAATGTCTTGCTAACTAAATAAATATATGTGTGAACTCCGGGTTCTGCTCCTTGCTCTGGATCGACTCACGATCTTGCAAAAGGGAAAAGAAAAAATAAAACGGGGGCCTAGCTTTGGCTTGTAAAATCTCTAATAAGTCCTTGGAGTTTTCCTCCCTTGCATGTTTCTCAGAGTTTCTGTTGATTTCGTTCTTTGTTTCTTTGTAGGTTTCAAATGCACATGACTTGTATCATTAGCCAAGAAACCACTGGAGAAGCTTCTAAAGTATTGGGGTTTTATCTTTAGGTGCCAGGGTGATGATGCAATTTTAGTATTTGCAT